GGTTTGAGTCGTTCGTTCATCACGTGACAGCCCCATAAGTTTAACCAATGCAGTCTGAGCCGGAAAGAGAATTGATTAGTTCATCTCTCGAGTCTTTCGAATCGTTCGTTCTTTTGTCACGTGACGTGACAGCATTGGATAGAGAAATTAGTTAATTTACAAGCTTCCTTACAAAGGGGTGCATAGTTATTATTATTATTATTATTATTATTATCATCATTATTATAATTATTTACTCACACTTACGTGATGCGTTTCTGGTCTCAAATTGTAGCTTTTTACTTCTTACAGTTTATAAATGTGTGAATTTCTGTCATTATGGTTCTTTTCCATAACACTGAATGTTGTAACAAAGGTAACAAAGAGTTGGTTATTATTATTAAGTCTCTTTCCGGCTCAGACTGCATTGGTTAAAGCTTATGGGCTGTCACGTGATGAACGAATGACTCGGAACAACCCGAAGACTCGAAACAGGTGAACTAACGTTACTTGACTAATTCCAGTACAGAACCTATATGATGTTGCGCATGCGCGACTGAACGAATCACTCCCCAAGACGACTCGTTCTTCCCCAGTCACATTAAAGATTCATTCAAAATGAACGAATCGTCAAGAACGACCCAACACTAGCTGACAGGTTAAGCACGCGGTGAAAGAGCTCAGAGACTTGACAATGGCTATCGATGAAGATATAGGTACGTATGTACATACATTTAAATGATTGATTGTTGTTGGGTGATAAGCATTTAGAAACGTTTTGAATCTTTAATGAGTTTTGAACTTTTAGCGCGTTTGACAATGACAACAAATTATTCTCGAGCATTCATTTTACAGTGTTTCTTTACTAACCAAGAAATGCATGTGAACGTTGTATAGGTGATTCTTCACCAGCAGAGACTCCAGCCACTAAAATGTCCAGACAACAGATATTAACACTTACTGCAATGGCCTCCATAAACTTCAGTTCAATGATCTGTTACTCCATTCTGGGACCATTTTTTCCAAATGAGGTACATTGATGATATTTCATAGAATTTGACTTGCATCCTTGTTGAAAAAAACCAGCATATGCTGGTTAGGTATGTTTTGATGCTGGTTTAAGCTGGTCCTTTGCTGGTTTAAACTGGTCCTTTGCTGGTTTAAGCTGGTCATTTGCTGGTTTATGCTGGTCCTTTTGCTGGTTTATGCTGGTCTTTTG